GGCTAATTTACGCATATTTTAATTAATTTTTTTTTCAGTCTGATCAAAGACAGGTCATTTACATTGGGATAAAATCTCTCATAACTTGGCCTCAAAAAATTATTAGAATTTAAATTCAAAACGTCTGAGTTTGTAACTCGTCATTGTTATCTTTTGAACTACCTTTTGAGGTTAAAAACATATTTTATGATATACCATAAATTATTATTTTCTTATGATCTCATTCGGAGTTATTTTCATCTTATTTTTACACCTGAGCATTACAATCGATATTTATGTATCCATTTTGGAGCAATCATAGGTCTTTGATAAAAATGTTCAAACCAATTAAATTGAGTCTCTCTTAATTAATCTCGTGTTTATTGGTATTATATATATGGTTTTAGGAGTATTCTCATTACTAATTAAATTGGTTTTATTGCACATCCGTCTTGAACATGGTGTTTTTTAATTTTTGAATATGAGTAGTGTTATGTATTTTAAATTTGTAACCCAAATTAAGGATGACTATTGAATCAGTAGGTCTCATCAACTTTTTTAAATGAGACCTACTGATCCAATGGTCCTCTTTGATTTTAGATATAAATTTGAATTAAAAATTTTGATACANGGCTAAAGATTATTTATGTAACTCAAATTGGTGATGCGTAATTTAACCACTAATGCCCAGTTGTGTGAAAAGGGACAAAAAAAAAAAAAAAAGAATTGTCAAATTTGTCTGGTAGTAGTGCCCTAGTTTTCAGTTCACCATGAATGAAGATTGATTTCAGGAGGTACCAGAAAAGAAAGGCTGATATTACGTGGGATGAATCAAGCTATTAATGTTGGAAGAATTTTCAACCACATCTTGTCAGCTTAAGCCTCAGATGTCCCAATAGAAGATTATGCCATCCAAATATAAGATTCTTATATTGATAGATGAAAATTTGAGGCTGAAGTAGTACATTTGAGGCATCGGGATTCTACATTACTTCGATTAAATCTGGGTGTATGTTGCTTTATTTCGAGATGGACGCCTCTTAATTAGAACGGTTTCTAATTACGACGGTAAAACACATAGAATCACTTCATTGAACCTCCTCTTGGGACGATTCTTAAGAATTTTTTCTCGTAATTTTCGTGTGCACACGAGACAAGGTGACATGTTCTACGAAGAGTAGTTGGGTGCTTTAAAAGATCCCAATACCTCACCTCCAACATTTGTACATAAGTAGACATTTTGCATAAAAGATCAGCCATTGTCACAAATGATATATACGAATTCATAATTAAAAAATCTGTATTGCCTACAACATTTTTTTTCCTTGGGTAAAATAAACCCAGAGAATTTTACTGCTCTCATTCCTAACACCTCTCAGTGTCTCACCCTAGCACAAAAGATTCAAACTACATTAGACAGAAACAGGAGAATATGTGACCCTTTTCTTATCAGGTCATGATTTTAGGCTTCAATGCCATGTCTTATTCATCTAGTATTATTTCCAAATGGTATATTTCATATCCACCAAGGTCGGTTTGACAAGTTTATTTCTCCCATCTTTTGACTTGGGCATCAACTTTTGCGGGATTATTGGACTTTCATAACAGGCTATTATTAAGTTCTTCAATGATTGAAACTGAGAACTTTCCCACCTCTTTTCTGGTGGGCTTTTTTTTTTTTCCTGTGAAATTGATATTTATCTAGCTTTGGTGGTAGTTGGTATCCTCTTAATGTACCCCTAAGATTAGGGTAAGTTGACTTCTGGTCTGTTCACGTGACCGACGTAAACACCGACGGCACGTGGACGTTTCCATGGCACTCAAATAATTGAGGAAGATGTGAGTTGTACCTCTGGTGTGTTTGGGCTAATTTACGCATATTTTAATTAATTTTTTCTTCAGTCTGATCAAAGACAGGTCATTTACATTGGGATAAAATCTCTCATAACTTGGCCTCAAAAAATTATTAGAATTTAAATTCAAAACGTCTGAGTTTGTAACTCGTCACTGTTATCTTTTGAACTACCTTTTGAGGTTAAAAACATATTTTATGATACACCATAAATTATTATTTTTTTTATGATCTCATTTGGAGTTATTTTCATCTTATTTTTACACCTGAGCATTACAATCGATATTTATGTATCCATTTTGGAGCAATCCTAGGTCTTTGATAAAAATGTTCAAACCAATTAAATTGAGTCTCTCTTAATTAATCTCGTATTTATTGGTATTATATATATGGTTTTAGGAGTATTCTCATTACTAATTAAATTGGTTTTATTGCAAATCCGTCTTGAACATGGTGTTTTTTAATTTTTGAATATGAGTAGTGTTATGTATTTTAAATTTGTAACCCAAATTAAGGATGACTATTGAATTAGTAGGTCTCATCAACTTTTTTAAATAAGACCTACTGATCCAATAGTCCTCTTTGATTTTGGATATAAATTTGAATTAAAATTTTTGATACTTATCATTACTCGTCGAATATTTTGTAAGAAAATAACGCATTGATGGTCTAATGAATGCATTATAAAACTTACCTTTCAATCTAATCCGCCTGAAAAATATGGCCCAAGCATTGAATAGCCGATCTGGTTTCCTGTGGAGATTACTGTCGCTCCAAAGTTAATAAGGAAGTCATTCTCTGGCCCATTGGACATCCAAATAAATGGGCCGAATATCAAACTAATGAGTTAAGGCTTAAAATTAGACATATAGCCATTTGGGCCTACCCATCTAGAAGCCTTTTAACCAAAGAAGGCCTTAAATTGGCTTTTTTCTCAGCCATTCAGTGCAGCCAAGCATATTCCATACGTTTTTTTTGTATCCAAGCATGTTCCATACTTTGAGTTCACGGAAAAATTCAAAATAACCAAGTAAAAGGCAAATCACCGTAAAGATCAAGCCACAATATTAATGGCAAAGGTATAACTATAATAAAGTATAATAATTTAAATTTCAATATATAAATAAAATAATTTTTATTATTCGTTATTGAGATTTTTTAAAATTTTCTTTTAAAGTTAATTTGATGGTTAATATTAAAATCACAAATTTAAAAGGAAAAATAGGTCTTTAAGAATGTGTTTAGAGTGACTTTTTTAAAGTATTTTTAAAAATTATTTCTCATAAGTATTTTTTTAAAAAAAATAGTGTTTGGACTCACATCACCACCACACCCACCATCACCACTACCATCATAATTGCCATAACCCCACCTCCACCCCCACCACCATTATTGCTGCCATTGCCTTGCCACCACCATCACCACTACCATGGTCCAACCACCACCATCACCTTTACCACCGCCCCAACCACCATCTCCACCCTATCATAACCACTATCTCCTTTACTGCCCCTACCACTGTCCCACTACCACTACCATTACCACAACCACAATTGCCTCACCACCACCTCCACCCCTCTTCCACTGCCACACCACCACCTTTATGACCATCATAACTACCACCGTCAGTACTCACAACTATCATTGTTTCCCACTGCCACCACTAACATAAACCACCATAACCCGTCGTCTACCATCACCACCAGCCGCTGTCACCCACCCTTACCACGCCTACCACCACCACCATCACTTGTCATCACCCACCATTATAGCCACCTACTCTCACAACATTTACCACCGTTATCATTCCCACCACCCATCACATTGTCACCTAGAAGTATTCATGGTCTCCTCATCACCACTATCGTCTTCGTCCACCACCATCATCGTCATCGCCTACCACCACTGTCATCGTCTCACTACCACCACTGCCAACCACCATAACGGTCGTCTACCACCACCTACACCCACCACCATCACCATCGTCACCCATGATTACCACTACCATTATCGTCTGCCAAAACCCACCACCACCACCACCATCACTGTTGTTATCCACGATTACTGCCACCACCATGATTGTCGCTATACACCACAACCATCATCGTCTCTCATCATCACCACTGTTGCCTACCATCACTAACACCACTGACCCCATAATCGGTACATAAATTTTTTTTATCTTTCCTCTATATTTGTGATTTGATTTTAAGTGTGAATACAAATATATTTATTACTGATTATTTTTTTTATTACTCTGTGTCTTTAGACACATATAATAACTATTAACTAGTATATTTATATATACACTAGTTGTGTCTTGTTCCCAACATGTGTTTTTTTTTAAAATATGGGTTGTGTTGTTGTAGTTAAAAAATTAAAATTTAAGTGAATTATTATGGTTAAAAAAATTAAATTTGAGTGAGCTATTGAGTTAAAAAAGTTAAAATTTAACTGGATTATAATGGTAAAAAGGTTAAAAATTTAAATTTAAATGATTTATTGTGGTTTAAAAGTTAAAATATTAAATTTTAATATAAATTGTTTGATCTAAGTGATTTGGGTTGTTGTTTGTGTTTTTCTAAATGAAGAATTTAAGCGGAGGCTTTTTTTTTTATTATTATAGATATATTGGGGCTTGTTGTTTATTACAAACTAAACTTGAGGAATGAAAATCTCAATAATTGAAAAAAGTTTAGTTGTTCATCTGACAAGATTTCCTAATACTAAAATTGCCATGAGTAACTTAATTCCCATCATAGGAATTTAAATGGTCTAAATAGTCAATTCTGATCAATAATGATGTGGAAGAAAATAGCAATATTATTTGAATTTAATTTATTAATTAATTAATTTATAATTATTAGATTGACGGTAAATTTCAGGATTCACAATTAGTCTAATAATTATAATGTATTAAATTAGTAAATTAGGTTAAAATAATATTATTAGTTCATGCGAATAAAATAATTTTTTATTACTTGTAAAGCACATAAATATTCGATTTATAATTTTAGATTTATATCCTAATTAAATATATATATATAGAAGGTGAGATCTAATTCCGTTGTTTTAACGTTCCTTCTTTCTTTGTTCTTTTTCTTCTATTTTTAAAATAAACTAAAACACCACTAGAAACTTGACAGCAGCTTCCCCTATTTTGACCGCTTCATCGTTAAGTCCACCCCCTCTCTCTCGCTCTCTCTTTCTCTCGAATACACACCCTATCATTGTAGCGTAGTGTTCAAAGTTTCAAACCCTAATTACACTCCTCTGTTCCCCAAATCTCCATCAATTCGTCCTTACTCAGATAATCAGTACTCAGTAGACTTAACGCCAGTCATGCCAACGGCTAGACAAAGCTTATCTATTTAGAAAACGACTCATCACTTGAGGTTAGCAGTCAATCTCATTCTATATTTTGCTCTGTATACTGAAAACACTGTTCTTTATGCCAATACACTAATCATTCTCTCACCACTTGTCACTTTTTAGTTCTGATTTCCTGAATCAATATAAATATTTCTCATGTAGTGTGAAGCAAGTGGGTGTTTGTATAGGGAAAAGATGGCGATAAATTATACCCTTGTAATGACTTGGTTTCTAATCTTAATCATTGTCAGCTGTGCTTCTGCTGATTCAGAGGTAAAAAAACTATGTAGAAATTAAATCTTTATGCTTCAATCAATTTTGATGAGCCTGTTAATCACCTCAGTATCTTATAGGTGCTAGTATTTTACTTGTTAGGTCAAAGAAATTTCAAACACTGGTTTAGGTTTGACGAATACACCAGTATCAAACAAAAATAATAATGTGAGTGAGCAAGCTGGTATACAGGACTCTGGTTCAGATTCTAACAAAGTTAACCCAGAAAAGATGGGTAAAGATCAAGTGGTTGGTTTGAAAGGTGTTGAAAATATTAATTTCAATAAGGACAATCCAAGTAAGCAATTGGGTTCGAAAGGAGTTCAAACTGGGGAAACAAATGCAAATGGTGATGATTCTGTAGAGGGTGGTGGCAAGAAAGGGAAGACAGGTGAAGGGTCGAAAACTAGAGACATGCATAAAGAAGGGATAGTACCACCCTTGAGGAAGGAGAGCTTTCGGGTTGAAGACTGTGATTCGTCTAAAAGTTGCACGGATGAGAAAAAAGCACTGGTAGCATGTCTAAGAGTTCAAGGAAATGGTATGTGATTCGCATCCTGTGGTTTTGTTGCTATCATTTAGTGCCATTCGTTACCGTTCAAGGTGTTTCATCTTTGAGGATTGTTCTTTGTGATTCCTATTGTGCTTATCAATGATGCCTACTTATATTTGCATTGAACTTTAATCCACAAACTGGCTTTTCTCTTAAACTAGACACTCTTGATCAAACTCAATCTAGCAATGGCTTTGCTTCCCCTGTTTGGTCTGCTACATGAATTATACTTCACCATTTCTTCCCCTGTGGGGAAATGATGTTAAACAGTCTTTTTTTGAAAAAGTGTTTCTGTTTGTGGAAATATTGCCCTGAATGGCCTGAAAGACTATAAAATAAAGGTTATTGAAGGGCAGTAAAGAAATACAATTTACAAGAGAAAAACTAAAAACAGACAATTCAGGCCACAAATATTTCAGACATAATGACTACAGGATGATTGGGCACAATGCCACATTCATTAGCTTGCTATATAATTTCTATCATGCCTGGGGAGTTAATTGAGAATAGGAGACTAGATGAGTAAGAAGTATATTAGAGGTCATATGCCATTATCTGGCATTTTGGACCATTAGGATTGGCTTGTTGACGTATAAGTCAGTCTGTATTTATGCATTGTTTGTTTTGATGTGGTATCATCAGCATGACAGAGGTGTTTTTTCAAGCCAATCTTCTTCTGTCAGGGATACTGGTTAGATGTGTTGTACTGGAATATAACTGAATTTACTTTCAACTTTTGGCTTTGCAACCCTTCATTCGATGTTGAAGCTATGAATGTTGGCTTGTGATCTTTCAGAACCTCCAGACCTTTCGTTGTTGATTCAAAACAAGGGAAAAGGCCCTCTAAGTGTTACGATTTCTGCTCCTGATTTTGTCCTTCTAGAGAAAAGGCCAATCCAACTTCAAGAGAATGAAAGCAAGGAGGTATATACAAATAACACTTTATGGGTTTGAAAGCATAGTGAATTTTAACTGTTGATAAATTGTCTTTCAAACTTTATAACTCATCCGGCATGGCCACTTCTAAAACAAACTACTAATGCTCTCTTGATGTAGTTTTCTTTATATGATATTGCGAACTGTTAAAAGAGCATAAAATCTGATCGCGTGATCTGCCTTTTTTCCAATGACTAAAAAAAAAAGATCTTCCTTTTTTCCTCTTAAAGCATGTTCTGCTGTATTAGCTTTCAAGTAACTTTATCTGAGTTATTTCCACATGTTTCTCTATTTATATGTTTTGTTTTGTGAAGAAATAAGTTTATTTAAGAGGAAGTACAAAAATATATATTTTATTTCAAAAGAATCTAATCAAGATGGTTCAAAGTTGTGGTATCGGTCATCAACTTGGAGGGCACTGATACACATCGGTCGCAATGTCGCGGTACGGTATTGGCTAATACGCACAAAATGTTAGATAGAAGTCTCAAAAAAATTTGAAAAAAATATAAAAAATTCTATAAAATGTAAATAACAACATCTGTGCATTATATGCCTAAAATACATTATCTAACACATTAAAAATAATAAAAATAGATTATAAAGGCACTACCAAAAATAAAAATTATCTATACAAAAAAAAAAAGAAAAAAGAAATTAGAACACAAAAAATACAACTTTTAGTGTGGTATAAAATAGACAACATATAAAAAAAAAAGAAATTAGAAATATAACTTTTACTATGTAGCTTTCACTTTTAAATTTCAAGGAGAGGGAGAGGGAGAGGGAGAGACGAAGACGAAGATGAAGATGGAGTAGTCTCTGCTAATGCGAAGAAGTCAGTCATCGTTCGATTGTTATCTACTACTCAAGTAGTCATCGTTCGATCGTCATCTGCTACTGTGACGTAGATGGAGTAGTCTCTGTTAGCTGGGTCCTCTGCTACTCGAATAGTCATCGTTTGATCGTCAAGCAGCGTAGGGTTTCTACAATTGATATGCAAAGTCAATCGATGATGCTGGTCCTCTGCTACTGCGAAGAAGAAAAAGAAGAACAAATAGTAGAAAAGTCTCTCAGATTAAGGAGCTTTACTACAATTTTTCAGGTTTGTGTTCAAATTTGTTCTCACTTTGTTGTTCTGTTTTTATTATGGTAAAAATGGTCTGATTTAGGGTTCAATTTTTCATTTTTTTTTGCCTTTTTTTGGCATTTTTTCTGTTGCTTGAATGTTGTTGGACGATTCTGTTGGTATCGTTCGATTCAAAGGTGAATCGACCGAGTTTATCCGAGTTAGACCGAGTTGGGCCGGGTTAGAACCGATTTATGGCAGACTCGTTGTAGTCTTGTATCGTGTATCGTTATCGGATCGGTGGCTGCCGAGACGGATACGACTCGGCCGAGTTGTATCCGACTTGACCGATACTTTGAACCTTGCTAATCAAGGTGAAAATTTAAGAAGATACATATATGGAATTGTATGGATGGCAAAGAATTCATACACTTAAATGCAAATTAGAAGATGATACGTGTAAGCAGAAACAAAGGAACTAAGAGAAAATAACCATAATTGACACAGGACAGTTAGGTTTCTGTTCACTCGGCGCGAAGGGGATTAGATTGAGAATATCTAGAATATTTAGGGGTTTAGAGGTGGATGGGTGGTCATGGGCCTTAGGAATGACAAGGGATTCATTACTTGGATTAGAAAGTGAATTATTGGAGTTGTATAGGAAGATAGTTGTTTGAGAATTATTATTGCTAATATGGTTTTTGGATACTGGTTTAAAGGCCAATTATGTGTGAAAAAGTTTGGCACGGATTAAGACTTGATAAGGTAGAGTTTGACTTAGTTTGGCCAATTAATAAAGTTTTCCTGTTTCCAATCAAAAAAAAAACTTAAAAGAGAAGAAGAGAGGACTTTAGGAATGCCAGTATGAACTCTCTGGGGACAACCCCCGAATGTAAGAATTGGAACACTCTAGGGATCCCCCTTGGATTTCAAATAGAGAAGATAAGCAGAAACTCTTCTTTCGCTTCACTAAAATGAATCTATTGGAGGCCACATATGTGGGGCTATAATCCCATTTTTAATAGTTGAGAAAAATGTCCCAAAAAAGTAAACGACAGGGCCTCAACTTTTGCACACATTGTATTTATACAGAGAGATCTACAAAATAGACTTACAAAAAAGGCTTAAAACAAGTTTTCCTCAAAAAGATTTGGTGATTAAGTTGAAGTTGCTTAAAAGGATTTGAAAAAGGCCAAGAGGAGTAAAGATTTGGCTAAGGCTGTAATGGAGTTCATGACTATCAAGGCATTTATGATGACTATGGTTTTAGCCATAGTTAGGGGTAAAGGAATAACGTGTCTGACACAAACAGTTAGTTACTCATATTCGTACATGTATTTTTGCCCACAAGAAACAGAAAAAGTGATCATTTCAGGAAGGAATGTTTTTGCCAAATGATTATATATCTCTTCCCTGACATGTAGCGAGACCTAATTCAAAACAGCAGGTCCTAATTTTCTTTGCATTCAACATACACTTGGAGATGACCCTTGGTAATGCCATATGCTCCACTGGAATTCTTGCAACTGCACCAATCTTACCAGCTCATTGAAAAATGTTAAAGTCAAATTCACAGCGTCATTCTTTTAGGTTAACCTTGCCAAGAAAATATAGAGGAATCATCATAGTGATGTGACGTGGAATTTTTGTTAGCTTCATATGGAACATGCTTCTTACAAATATTGTAGTCTGCATTGAGAAGAATTCATAGCATTAGTGGGTATACCTCTTCATCTTATTAAACAATGTCATTGAAACTTCAGAAATGATTATATTGTAACAGCTGGGATCTGACTGGTAATTTGCACTATGCAGGTGGTGCTTCCCACCAGAACTGGGGAAACTGAAAACTTCATTGTTCTAACCGCGGGAAATGGTAATTGCAGTCTTGATGTCAGGGATCTGATTGCGCAGAATTCCAGGAAAGAAACTGGCTATCATTCCAAGACCACAAGCATCAACATCTTTAATGGAACCCTCTCCTTTGGATTCATATGTTTGGCTGCAATATTTATAATAGCGTCGGTTTGGACTTGCATTAGCTTCCGGCGCAGGCGTTTTGCAAGAAATGGCTCTAAATACCAAAAGTTAGACATGGAGCAGCTGCCATTTTCAGGGCATGGCAAAGTAGAATTGAACTCAAACGATGGATGGGACAACAGTTGGGGGGACGATTGGGATGATGTGGAGGCACCCAAGACACCTTCAATGCCCATTACTCCAAGCCTCTCATCCAAACGTGTTACCTCCAGACGGTCTAACAAGGAAGGTAGGAAAGATTAGTTATTTTATCGCGATAGATAATATTGATTACCTTCTGGTGATGTGTTGGTCCGCTTTGAAATACACATTTTTGCTCCAATCTTTCCCAATTCAAATAGAAACAGAAACTTATACAAATGCTTTGTAGTTTGTTCTCCATTTTCATTTTTATATCAAATGAGGGTCTTATTATCTTTTACTTTAGACCCACATGATGCTCTTTGGAAATTCATTGTTTCTTCATGTTTTAGATGAAAGCAGTACCTGGGCAAACTGGGTAACGCGTATGCTCTGTGCCATAGTACTGTTTGAACCGGATCGTGTGCCCCCGGAAAAAGACTTTCCTTATCAACTGTGTGGGTTAAGACTTTTGAATTCAACTTTAATTTTCTGCCAAAACAGTAATGTTAGTGATAAAAAAACAAATGATAATGGTCCAGAGAATTATTAAAAACAATGCTAGATCTTGGAACAACACGCGTATAAGATTGTCATGTTAACTTGTTTGAATTGCAGCAACAACGATATGAAGTGAAGTTAGCGGTTGATCTAATGGTCATTGTCTCTGTTATTAAACTTTAAGGTTGTAGGGTTCAACATCATCGTCCGACCACTAAAAAAACATGGGGCACCGACTAAGAGGAAATTTTTTGTAAGTTGTAAAGCCCCACCATCACATGGGTAGTTGCCAGATTGCTGGCACACATGCGCGGTCTGGTCTGGTGACATGTATGTAATCTAAGCTGGGGGCAAATGACATTCCACCTCTCTAGTGAAATGAAGAAGTGTTTTTTTTTTACCATACTAAAGCCATAATGATTAAGGTTGTGTTTGGTTGAGGTATCATAGAGTGAGATTGGATTAATTTAGTTTCAATGGTAATTTAGCAGTATTATGTTTGGATCAAAATACTAGGTTCCGTCATAAAGACTTTATTTACATTGACCTAATTGTAATGTTTCATTTAACACTCCTCATTTGATACTATAAACCAATACCATTTAATAGGTAATATTAAATTAGTTATAATTGCTATTAACATTTAAAATAACAAGGATGAATAATTGCACTTTTTCTATCTTATTTTATTCCGTGGGATTCTGCCTTTACTGCTCGTTTCGGAAACCATCAAGTAGATTCAAAACAATCCGGTCAGACGAAAATGCTCGAATTGGCATCTATATAGACTAGATATGTATACATTGATGTATAGTGTGTTCTATCTTTAATTTATAAACATATTAATCCCTTCTCCAAATATCATATTGATATTAAATAATAGATCTGTACGTTAAATAAATCATGATTCATGGTATAGTTAAGATAACACAAACTGGCTGAACAATTTTTGTAACCACTACGAATTGATTGAAAATTAATTATCTGATCTCATACTATACCCTATCCAAACATTCCCTAAAGTGTGTAATAATGATGCACAAATTAAGTTTGCACACCACCTATCAAGTATCAATAATAAATGCAGTAATTAATAAGAAGAGTGAGACGAGACAAGGATTATAGTAGTTTGGTCAACGTGACCTACGTCTATTTTAAATGGCTAGGGTCGCTGGAGAGCTTTTATTACTTCAAGGGTGTAAGGAGAGCAGAGAGTTACAAGCTTTGAGAGGGAGAGGAGAGTTGTGCTCAACTGAATGTGATACTCCCAAGTGTTGGCGGGACTTACAATTTATAGTCGCCCCTACAATAGATTGAGACAAATTGCTAGTAACTAAGTGACTATTTTAGTTGAAGTGGCGATCTCTTCTCAACGGCCGAGACAGTTATGGTGCTTTTCATGAGATTCAGTCAAAGGATGAGATGAGTATTGACTCTTTTTAAGGCGGCGTGGATAAGGCTCTTGGATGACCTTGCATACTCTTTGTTGACGTAGCTCATTAAACTTGATGAGCTTGACAAAGTGTGGACCATTTTGAGGTTGGACTTACTAGATTTCTTGGAATTAGACTATTGATTAAGACTGAATTTTTCAACATGAATTGGGTCATTTGGGCCCAAGCCATCAGTTTATTTTTACAAATATATACTTGATGCATTTTTTTTCACAAGCATGTGTAATTATACACATAAGTACCTGGCATGCCGGGCAACTTACTATTTATATCACAGCCCAGACAAGCCCTACGAGCTCATATTCTAGCCCAAACACAAAGACGAACCACACGTCCTTTTGGAGTTATGTTAGAGAATTTAATATCTAAAAATTGAGAGATACTTGAAACAATCAAAGATTACTATCTAAATATATATAATTAACTAGGTTAGAAGAGGAGATTAGTGAATCTCTTTTAATTTTGAATTGGGATCCACTATCAATTTAATGACCATAATCTATCATATCAACAAATAAGATCATTAAATTAGGTATAAATAATATTTTTATTTCTACTATATTTGATTGTTTGGCAAGTTAACAAAGGACAAAATACATTATCTCTTGATCACGTCTTCACCAATTTTTCTATTCGTATGGCATTGTCTTATTTTCCAAACCCATTCTACAAATTTTAAACATTCATTTATAACACATAGAGCCAATGGCAAAGGTAGTTAGGAGCATGTGAGTCCACCAGGTGTTGTCTATTCATTGGAGAACCACAAACTGCGCACGTGCAGCAGTTGTATCGTTCTTTCTGTGGGGGCTATCACGTCACGTGGTAGTGCCACACCAACAATAACACTGTCAGAACTTGCACTAGCTCTCACATGACAAATCCTCCTCGCCGGCACACGTGTCCCGCTGTTTCCGGTTTTATATATTCCACTAATCAACGTTGATTGTCTGACCAAATAAAAAATCACCGTTGATTGCGATTTCGAGATTGGCTTTTGGACAAAAACATCGTATAAGGGGTTGTCACTGATTGCCTGCAATTCCGTCGACTTATTTCTAGTGATGTGTCTAATTATTTATGGTTAACTAGATGTTTAATTGATATTAATTAAACAATCTTCTATCATTATTCCAAGTTTTCCTTCGACCAGAGATTTTTGGATTGAACATTAAGCTCGATTAAATTCAAATTCATAATTTTAAAATTTAATAATTATGATCATTACATTAACCATTAATCTCGTTTAACATGACCCTTCGACTAAAGTTTTTTTGTCAAACACTAGCACTATGACTTTAAGATTCAATACCTGTGGTCGTTTAAATCAACACGTGTTGAATGATTGCATTATATTTGATCATGTCAATTCGAGTTTGTATTATTTTCTTGTTATGTTTATGCCATTTTTATGAAATATAAACCATAACGTAATGAAGTGTTTTTTTTTTCCTTAATTTAAAAAATGCCCAGTAAATTAAAAATCTATTTTTTTGGGCTTAGTTTAGATTCGACTCATTTTTTAAATGAGTTATATTTAAATAATTTTTTAAGTTTATTTTTTGATTTGAATCAAAATTACAAAGTTTGATTCGTTTATATCTAAAATAATCGAACTATTCAAGTTCGAATTTTTTTGATATTGACTCATTTAGTTTGAACAATTTAGGTTCATTTAAAAAAATCACGGCTTTATTATGAATCCTATTTCCAACGAGACTGCAATGGAAGAGTACAAAAGCAGTTTATTATACTTTACCCATACATATGAGAGAGAGAGAGAGAGGAATGTTGTGCTTCTTGAGGGGCCTTTTGCCCTGCTCTTCTTATTCATACCTAATCAATCAGTGTGTGAAAAATTCATACGACGTCCCCATATACTATAATGGTCATATGGTATTACTCTTATGTTATTAAAAAGTCAAAGTGCTTTGTTTTTTGAATTTGACATTGTCGTTGTTTGGTTGGGGCATTCCATTTCCTTCATTTTTTCCCTCAATTTTAGGGCCTTTTCGGCGGATCTCCATCGTGAACCTTTTTTTGNTTCCTTCATTTTTTCCCTCAATTTTAGGGCCTTTTCGGCGGATCTCCATCGTGAACCCCTTTTTNCTTTTGCCCTGCTCTTCTTATTCATACCTAATCAATCAGTGTGTGAAAAATTCATACGACGTCCCCATATACTATAATGGTCATATGGTATTACTCTTATGTTATTAAAAAGTCAAAGTGCTTTGTTTTTTGAATTTGACATTGTCGTTGTTTGGTTGGGGCATTCCATTTCCTTCATTTTTTCCCTCAATTTTAGGGCCTTTTCGGCGGATCTCCATCGTGAACCTTTTTTTGTCTATTTGTCTGGGATATTTTGCGCTGTTCAACTTTGACACACTAGTCAATTTTAGACCGTCGTCCCAGTCATAACACAATAGATGTAGATTCTAAATTTGTTTTGGCTTCAACGTTAAGAACAGTTAAATTCATTTAATAACATTTGAGGTGTATTTTTTCGGTACCGCATTGACAATTACTAGTTTTAGTGTTAATTAATAAATTTTTAAGGATAGATTACAAANTAACACAATAGATGTAGATTCTAAATTTGTTTTGGCTTCAACGTTAAGAACAGTTAAATTCATCTAATAACATTTGAGGTGTATTTTTTCGATACCGCATTGACAATTACTAGTTTTAGTGTTAATTAATAAATTTTTAAGGATAGATTACAAATTTTTATAGTGTTTAGGATCGATTTTAAACATTTCTAAATTGATCCTAATATTTATGATCGATCTTGATAAGTTTGGGACTGGCCTTGAAATGTGAGGATCAATTTTAAATAACCAAAAAGATTATAATTTGACCTTCAACATTTGTAACTTAACTTTGAAAAATTGTATTTTTTTCTTAAGATCGGTTATAATTGTTTTTTGTTATAGTTATANACATTTCTAAATTGATCCTAATATTTATGATCGATCTTGATAAGTTTGGGACTGGCCGTGAAATGTGAGGATCAATTTTAAATAACCAAAAAGATTATAATTTGACCTTCAACATTGGTAACTTAACTTTGAAAAATTGTATTTTTTTCTTAAGATCGGTTATAATTGTTTTTTGTTATAGTTATTTCTTCAAAAGTTGTGTATTCACTCATAAAAATTATATATATGTTTAAAACATCTAGGTTATTAAGGGTTAAACTCAACTACCGAATCACTGATAATTTTTTTTTAATATTGTATCTATTTGGCTAGCTAACTAACATATATTAAAATATTACGGTCTTTATTTTAACTAATCACTTTTATAAATTCATTCCAACTACACTCTCTATTTTAGTTAACTACTTTACCCAATTTTTATTAACTTCCAATATTTTAAAGGGAATACAATATATATAT